AAACTATGTACAGTGTTGTCAGTCAACATTCCCTCAAATAACATAATATAAAAACAAAACAAAGAATGCTGATGAAATAAATCTCCTGACATATGTCCCTCTAAGTTATCATTGGTATGGAAAAATGAGGAAATAATGCATCTGCAAGGATTTAGTACAGCATATCCCATCAGACTTTTGGTATCTTGACACTTGCCGTATAGAAAGTTATTCAGGAAAAAAGTAGCCAAACTAATAGTTAACATTAAGATAGACAAGACTGCAACATTAAAATAGACAAGCATCATTATTCTCTGATATGAAATAAGATTGAAGTCAAATGATCTAGATAAAATAAATTAGGATTTCTTTTCCTCAAACAACAGGCATCCCATGAATTTGAGTTAGAAAAAGGAAGTACTACTTAATGCTATTAGCTAATAAACTTGCTTCTCTTCCATGTTAGGTTCAAGTAAGATACAGAATATAATACAAAGGCACTGCTACAACAATGATTTGATGCCATGGAAGACCCTTGATACCAAGACTAGTGCTGGAGCAGTTGTCATGGAAAAGGAATTCTGTGAAACTCTAGAATCCTAGAATTGGGGTTATTTGGAAGAGATAAGGAAAGGGCTTAGATTTTGGATTATTTGGAAATTAGAGTTAAGTGGATATAAGAAATTTGAGTGGTGATATTACACACAAGCCAGTATCATAAAGAGAGGGAGTTAACAGCTAATGTAGGGATATATTTGACCAGTGTTAAACTGGAAGGTTATCAAGCTGGACACTAAGGCATTTGGGGAGTATAACTGCATAAAGGAATTTAAAGCAACAACAGAGTTGAAAAACTGTTGGTCTGGGTGTTGGAAAGCTCAATTCTAACCCCTGGTCCCTGAGAGCATATCAGTTTTACCTTTTTGGATATGTCTTAATTCTACAATGAGGGGACTAGATTGTTTTCTCTAAATTTGACCCCCTTGGACTCTTGATACTAAGATTTTTGCTAAGAAAGTATTTTCATTCCTAACTGAAAATATAAACAATTTTTTTTTTTCTTAATTGTGGTTCATCTTTCTATAGCTATCTTAGGTGTGGCCTTCCCGTCAATAATCCACCCACATACATCAGGCTCCCCTGTCTTCTCCTTTCCAGTCACTCCCACTCCTCTCCTGCTACAAGATGTAGACTGATGGTCAGCCCTTAGGCCTTTTCTTTGTCCCAGAACCTTGACCTTGTCCAAGAACTTGGGCTGCTAGGCCACAGCAGACCTTACTGCTTAGAGCCCCAGGAGCAGTAGTGAGATAAGTAGCACAGAGCCATCAGGAACCTCTATAGGTGTGTGAAGTTAAGCAAATGTTCTTTAAACAGTAAATAAAGTCAGGCCTCCCTAATGGCCCTCCCTAATGGCGCATGGTTTAAAGTCTCAGCATTATCAAGCTTTTGCCAGCCATTGCAGTGTAAGTTGGATCCCTTGCCAGGGAGCTAGCCTATCTCTCTTGTCTCCGCTGCTGCTCCCCTCAACAGTAGCTTCACCTGTTCTGCTCCCCACACTGTCTCTGGTGAATCCTTTTACCACCTACACCCCAGATCTTATATTCATAAATACATAAAAATTTTTTAAAAATGGTTGAGTAAAGTCATAGATCAGACCAATTGATTATAAAGGAAAATTCAGATGTTTTGGAGCAGATCTCTCTAAAGATGTGCTCCAAAGCTATGCTCCCCAAAGATGACACATGGCAGATATAAAGGAAATTATTCTGCCCTTCCACTATAGATTTGGTGGGTGGTAAGTTTCACCTGATTTATACCTTTGATATTCAGGGTTTTGGTTTTTTTTTTTAAACCAATTAAACATTTTTTTTTTCATTGATGTTCATTTTTGTACAATATTTGATTTCTCCCTTAGGTGTAGTCTCCATAAATCTCCCACTCCCACATTGCCTATGAACCATCACCATATTCCCTTATGCTCTTTTCCTCCCCCCCAACCCCAGTTTAACCTTACCCCCTTCTTCGCCCCTGCTTTATGCCTCAGTCTGTAGTTTGCCTACAAGTTTTGTCTTTCTCTTGACCCCTTGTTCAATTTCCCTGTATTGCTCTTATTGATCTCAGATATTTTTCTTTTTCCTTTTGAAACATAATGTCTTCCAGTTCTATCAGTGTTGCTGCAAATGGCATGAGTTTGCCTGTTTTGACTGAGGAATAGTATTCTACTGTGTATATATGCTACATTTTCTTGATTCTTTCATCTGTTTGGGGGCATGTAGGTTCTTTCCATATCTTGGCTATTGTGAATAGTGCTTCAGTAAGAATAGGTGTGCAGGTTTCCTTTCAAATTAATGTTTTTGTATCCCCTTGGGTAGATTACTAAGAATGGAATTATTGGGGTCATATTGTAGATCCATTGTTAGTAATTTAAGGGTTTTCTACACAGCTTTCCTTATTGGTTCAACCAGTTTGCATTTCCACCAGTAGTGTGAGAGAGATCCTTTACCTTTAAACAGCATTGTTGTAGCCTTTTTTTAAAAAAAAAATATGAGCCATTCTCACTATGTACCTTTAATATAAGAAGGGGCATTGTTTCAAACCCATTTTCTCTGTGCTCCCCAATTTAATGTGTTTTCTAACTGTCTTATATAGACTTGCTTCTCAAAGTATGCTGCATTAGCAATACCTGTGAATTTATTAAAAATGCAAAATCTCATACGCCTCCCAGACTACTCAATCAGTCTGCTGAATCAAATTTAATAGGATCACTAAGTCACTTATATTGCATGTTATATTTTGAGAAGCTCAGCTCCTAAAGCAGTGGTTCTCAAACTTTTAGCAGACATCAGAATATCCACAAGGGCTTGTTAAAGATAAACAGCCCAAAGTTTCTGATTCCATAGGTTTGGAATAGAGCCCAAGAATTCGCTTTTTTTTTTTAGGATTTAATTATTTATGCATACAGAACTGGGGTGCAAACCAGAAGTGCAGAGACAGAGTGGGGAGCAGAACAGGCAGACTGATAAAGTACATTGCTGAGGGGAGTAGCAAGCAAGATAGGTGAGGTCTGCCACTCCATGTAGGTCACCTCCCTGGCCTCAGCCCACTTCGCCACAAGAGAGTGCCCGTATTCATTATTTTTATAAAAATAGAATTAACCATGACATACACTTAAGTGACATCTTTAAAGATAGAGCACCAATGCAACGATAGTGAAGGCAAGGATAAATAGATAGGACTACATCAAGTTAAAGAGGTTCTGTACAACAAAAGAGACGTTACAAAAGACAAACAGACATCCCACTGCTTGGAAAAAATTTTCTCACACAAAACTAGTGACATACAAAGATATACAAAGAACTGATGAAACTCAACAAAAATAAACAACCCCATCAAAATACGGGCAGAAGTGCTAAAAAGACACTACTCCAAGAAGAAATGCAGATGGCTAACAAGCATATGAAAAAATGTTCAACATCACTCGTAATAAGGGAGTTGAAAATTAAAACCACAATGAGATACCACCTCACCCCAGTGAGAATGGCACATCTTCAAACAACTAGCAACAACAAATGTTGGCGAGGATATGGAGAAAAAGGAACTCTCCTGCATTACTGGTGGGAAATGCAAACTAGTACAACCACTATGGAAAACTGTTTGGAGGTTCTTCACACTGCTAAACATGGAGCTTCCCTACGACGGAGCAATCCCACTCCTAGGTATCTACCCAAAAGACACAAAAACACTGAAAAAGATACTTGTACCCCCATGTTTATTGCTTTATTATTTACAATTGGAAAAACATGGAAACAGCCTAAATGCCCAAAAGTGGATGACTGGATTAAAAAGATGTGGTACATAAACACAATGGAATATTAGCAACCAAAAGAAAAGAAACACATGCCTTTTGCAGCAACATGGATGGAGCTGGAAAAGATCATGCTTAATGAAGTAAGCAAGAAAGAAAAGGAAAAATGCCAAATGCTTTCACTCATAGCAGGAGTATAATGGACCAGGCGAGAAAATAATAATAATAATGAACAGTTATATATCAGAGACAATTTTGGGGGGTGGGTAGGGAATGGGATCAAAAACAGTGCAGGGAGGGAAATGCACTGAACTTTGGTGATGGCACATGGGTGATTTGGTAATGGGAAGCCCAAGGGGATTACAGCTGAGGTGGGAAAATGCACAAAATGATGTAAAAATAAACATATATATATATAAAAATTAAACTATAAATATCTGTCGGCAACTTAGCTTTTCTCACTATGGACATCTTTTTTACAGGTATATCTAATTCTTTTTAATAGTTGTGTGCTATTGCATATTACAATATAATGGATTCCTTGTTGACAGAAGTTAAAATTTTTTTTTTGCTGTAACAAATAGCATTGCAGTGAATATCCTTATACATTTACCTTTGTGCATCTTTTTGTATAGTATATTCTTAGGGCATGAATCAGAGAATTCAATATTAACATTTTTATTGATTCTACCTTTTGTCTGTTTTAAGGGCTATCCCATTTCAGCAGCAGTGTGTACAGTTAGAAACCAGATCCTGTTCTAAATACCATTTCTCTCCAAAAGGAGCTTAACGGAGAGACAGGTTCCAAATCTGTGGCGGATAAAGGCAATGAAGACAATGTTGAAGTTATCAACATTGAGTGTGTAGGAATCCGCCCTGGCATCTGGCCCTTATAATATCTATAGTTGTGTTTCTGTAAGAAAGTGAGTTATCTTCCTTTAAAAAAAAAAAAAAAAAGGTTCTGTGCGAGAGTCTGTTTTTTCAGTATTTCCTCAAGAATAAAATTTATTGAAGACCTGCCTTCTTAGGAAACATGGTAAACCTGTATGCAAATAACTTTATTTAAAATCCTTAATTGTTAGCAAGCTAAATTATTGCCAGTGTAAAAATTATTTTTCACGTCCTAGACAGCTGCTCAGGAAGCAATCATGCATGCATCTGGAAGTGGTGTACCTCTGCTGTCTAAGGACTATTGTATGCTATATAACTCCAGTTGGACACCTCTGCCAAGTACCCTAGAAAATGCAGTAAGTAAATCATAATTACTATTTATTTGTAAATATGAAAATATGGAATGGTAAAAATAAGAGCTTTATATATTTTTGTTGTGAGCTAGTTGTAATATATGATGATTAATAAATATATTGTTTTTAATTTAAATATTTTTATCTCTGATGTAGAAAATCTAGAGATTTTAAAATACTTCAAAGATTGACTGTGAAAATATTTCTGAATTAGATTAGGGTGGAATGTATTTATCATGTTAAAGACATTTCTTCTTTTCAGACTTCCATAAGTTTGATCAATCTGACTACCACGCCACTGTGCAAACTTTCTGATATTCCTCCTGATGGATTAAATAACACAGCAGTTGTGGTACAATGGGGAACCTGCCATTTTCTTGAAAAAGCCAAAATTGCACAAATAGGAGGTGCTGAAGCATTGTTGGTTGCTAACAACAGTGTCCTAGTAAGTTATAAAATTAGAATATGATATCTCATTTCACATGAATTGAACTGTCTCCTGAGTTTTGAATAATCTGATGGTGGAATTCTTTTTAATAAACATTCTAAATATAGGCATTTAAATGGACAATTTTGTGGTTTCTTTTATGTTCCTAAGTAGATGGACTTTAATTAGTGTGTATGTGTGTCTTAAATACAAATTTAACAAAGGATGTACATGTATATCACAAACCGTACTTATATGCTGAAAGGATTCCAGTGTGAGAACTCTTAACTATAATACTAAGAAAAACTACTTGAATCTTTGTTTCATAGCTTTAAAATTTTTAATACTATATTTAATAGAATAATTTGGATTTTATTCTATAGCTACACTAATTCATACATTTTCATAATATATATTTTTTCTTTTAGTTTCCTCCAGCTGGGAACAAATCTGAATTTCAGGATGTGAAAATACTGATTGCATTTATAAGTCACAAAGACTTTCAAGATATGACTCAGGTAAATTAGTAATTATATAAGTCAAGTTTATAAACAGTACAAAACTCATTATTTTTAGCCATTGTCATTTAAATTATTACTTGTGCTGTATTTAATAAGAAGTCAGCAGAATGTATATTTTGCTGTATATTCACCTCCTATTCAGCACAAGGTGTTTCAAAACCTGACTTTAAAAAGGATATTTATGTCTTCTGATTTCTTTTAAAATTATGTATTTTATCTTTAAATTCCTGAACAAAATATCTGTATTTTCATGACTTAATAAACTAAAGCATAGGCTCATAGTTTTGACAAGAGACTATATCAGGTTGTCAAAAGTAATTTGACTGGTCTTGACTATCTGATGTATAATGTCCATTGCCTATTGAAATCAAAATGTTGCTATACACTGTAGTAGAGTGAAAACTAACTCTAGCATTTCCCTATTCTTTTACCTTTCAGACTCTTGGAAATAACATTACTGTGAAAATGTATTCTCCACCAAAGCCAATCTTTGACTATACCATGGTGGTTATTTTTTTAATTGCAGTGTTCACTGTGGCATTAGGAGGATATTGGAGTGGGCTAATTGAATTGTAAGTTTTAATTAAACTTCAGAGTTTTTCTACTAAATGCTTTAAAATTCTTGTTTAATAATCATTTTACATGACGTTAGCAGTGTAAGGCCAGGAAGATCATTTAACATTTTATTGAGAATGGGTCATAGCATCCTGTAGTCTCCTGCATATAGGAAATACTGAAGTTTCATCAAAAACTCTTAAAATTAAAATTAGCTCTCTCAGGACAAGTGAAGTTATGCAGTAACTAATATGCCTGTTTAGATTGGAAGAAAGCTTTCAACTTGAGTCATTACAGTATGACTTCATCATTCTGTTTAGTGCTGTAAGAATTCTAAGGCTATCTGACTTGTCCATATTTTAATTTAAATTTATAAATTCCAAATGTACATAAAATTTTGATTTCCCTATTAACTAATAACCTAAACCCAGTCTTCCTACAGACATATACCTTTAGCTCTAGATTAAAGCAGGCAATATAATATGGATCAGTTCCTATCTATAACTGAATAAAAAATGTGCTCATAAAGGACATGCGTAAAGGAAAATATATTTGCCTTATGAATTGATCTTTAGGGTCCATGAAAAAGAGCATTATTTACAACTGAATGAAACAATAAGTTTATTTGTAATTTCTTAAAATACTAAAATTTGATTGACTTACAGGAAGAGAGATTTTAGGGCCTCCCTGGTGGTACAGGGGTTAATCTCAAAGCTATCAAGCTATTGCCAGCTACTATGGCATAAGTTTGATCCCTGGCCAGGGAGCTAACCTATTTGGCACAGCAGACCTCTACTGTTTTGCTTGCTGCTCCCTTCAGCAATGTATTTCAGTCCATCTGCCTATCTTGCTCCCTACTCTGTCTCTGGTGGGTCCTCTCACCCCCTGCACGCCTGGCCTATACTCCAGTTCTTGTATGCATAAATAGATAATTTTTTTAAAAATCCTGATGATGGAAAAGTAGTAGATACTAGCATTTTTATTCATAAAACATTATGATGGAGAGGAAAAAAAAATAACTTGTTGCCTTCAGTAGCCAGGTTGGGAGAAGAGAAGTACTTTACCTGCCAGATTAAGCATTTAAAGTTAAGATGGCTAGTTCTAAGAGTAGGATAAAGATGGAATGTACTAAGTATATGTGGGTGGGGTTAGTGGTAGTATAAACATGAAACACTGATACAAAGGAAAAAAACCATAAAAAGAATTATTAAGAATATGAGGATCATTCATGACAATATGGATGAGCTTTGGACTTTGAAAGTATTATGCTAGTAAAATGAGTCAGAGAAAGACAAGTATCATGATCCCACTGATATTTGGAATCTAAAAAAAATTAAATTGAACTCAGAAATACAAACAGCAGATATTGGTTGTAGTTAAATGAAGAGGGTGTTGGGGTAGACAAAAATGGGTGAACATGGTCAAAAGGTGCATTATAAAGTAAGTCTTGGGATATAATGTACAGTATGGTGACTATAGTTTAAAATACTGTATTACATAGTTGAAAGTTGCTTGAGGGATTAAATCTTCAAAATGCTTATAAGAAAAAAATGTGTAACTTTGATGATGGAATGTTAACTAGATTTACTGTGGTGGTCATTTTGCAATATGTACAGATACTAAATTTAAATACCTTAAACTAATATGTGAATTATACTTTAATTAAAAATTGTTTTAAAGGCATCTTCACTTAGCAAGTACAGTTAGTTTGAAAGGGGAGAGAGAAAAAGTCTCAGGAAAGGGAAAATTTGCCACAACATGACCTCATATTCATTTGAATTACACTGTGAAATGAAAGGTGTACCTTATGCAAAAGGGAGAGATGCCTTGGTCCCATATAAAGACTTCTCAGTAGAGAGGTGAAGTCTTATTACAAAAAGATAACTGGTCTTAAATTTCATAGACTCAGGCTGTCATGAAAGAAAACCTAGCTTCCAATTGTGTGTGTTTCTTGAACTGATTTCAGTACAAAGTTTTAAAAAGGTAAACTATAATCTTTACTTGTAGTATAACTTTAGTATCTTTTCCCTTCAAGAAATTACCTACTGCTTTTTAGTACATTGAATATGAACATATTCATTTTTCATTATTATAGCTGATGTGTGTGTTAATGATAAAAATGACTTTAAATATTACATTTAAATGATAGAAAAATGTTTGGTACCTTTTTCCATTCAGGTTCTATTTCAGTGAAACTTATGTTAATACCCTGTGATTAAGCTATATGATTCCACTGGAGTGCTGTTGTGTCTTTCTCTCCACTCTCTTGCTGCTTTTGCTAGGCAGCCTCCCTAGAGTCAGATGCTTAATATATATTGTGATCATAACAGTCAACAATTGTCTAAGAAGAAAATAGCATGTTGGTGAATAGGCAGCTTGGCAAAAGTGCAATTTTATAGAAATACAAACTTTTTTTAACCTAAAGTTTGCATTGAGCACAGATGTGATAAGAAGGGTCGGGATGTGTGACCAGGGGATAAGTTTAGTAGACCAGAGTTGAAGGGACTAAAGCTGGAAAAGTATATGATGGATTCATGTAATGGAGGCAACAGTGAGTAACAGGATACAGATTGCTCAAGGAATATTGTAACTTCAACTTTTGTCCATTTAGCTCTGTGACCTAGCAAGAGTTATTGGGAGAACGAGAAACAATCTTTTGTTATCTTTTTTTTTTTTTTTTAAGATTTATTTATTCATACAGAACTGGGGTACAGGCCAGAGATGCGGAGGGTGAGAGGATTCACCAGGGACAGAGTGGGGAACAGAATAGGCAGATCGACGAAGTACTCACTGCTGAGGGGAGCAGCGGGCAGGTCAGGAGAGGTCTGCTGCACCATGTGGTCACCTCCAGGGCAGGCGGAAGTCAAACTCATGCGGAAGTGGCTTTAGCTTCTTAGTGCTGTGCTTTAACCCGCTGCGTCACCAGGGAGGGCCTTTTGTTATCTTAACTCGAGATAGGACAAAATTATGTCTTAAACTTCTTTTGAGTCCTTCATAATATATTGATGAATACCAAAAAGACAGTAATTACTGACTTTATTGATAGAAGAATTTTGTGTTTACATTTAAAAGAGGCTAATATTAGAAGTGTTTTCACTGTGTGTAAATAGGTCATCATACAAAGTATATATAAAGTGGTTATAGGACCCTCCCTGGTGTTGCAATGGTTAAGATGCAGCACTGCAAGCTAGCGCAGCTGCTTCAGTGAGTTTGATTCCCATCCAGGAGCTGACCCACATGGTGTGGCAGACCACTACTGGCCCGCCCACTGCTCCCCTCAGCAGTGTACTTCATCGAACTGCCTGTTCTGCCCTCCACTCTGTCTCTGGTGAATCCTTTCACAGCCCCTGTACCTCTAGTTTGTACCCCAGTTCTGTATGAATAAATAATCTTTAAAAAAAAAAAGTGGTTATAATTTGCTGCTTTTTGCTAGGCAGCCTCCCTAGAGTAAGATGCTTAATATAATGATCATCTCAATCAACAATTGCCTAATGTCTAATTGTCTTTTAATGTAGTTTCCAAATTAGATATTACAAATATCCATAGATAATGTTTATATAAGAAAGGTTAGTAATTCAGCCTGCAGGAACAAATCTGTTTCAAAATAAGTGGTTTATAATATATCATCTCTGGAGCAAATAGAGAATATTTATGTTCTAAATTAAATATTTCTTTTTGGTATAAGTTTTTAAGTCTATTTCTTTGTACTCATTTAATTTGTGTCAAAGAGGTAGACTTTAAAAATAACCGTACTTGGCAGAGTTGTGCTAACATTCCTTTGTATGTTTATGCAGGGAAAACATGAAGGTGATGACAAATGCTGAAGAGGGGGAAATGAGAAGAAAGAAGGAAGAATATTTAACTTTTAGTCCTCTAACAGTTGTAGTGTTTGTGGTCATCTGCTGTGTTATGATGGTCTTACTTTATTTCTTCTACAAATGGTTGGGTAAGAAGTCATATTTTATATTTATAACTTTAGGTATATGATCTTCATTTACTTCGCCAGATTTATCTTTCATTCAAGGTAGTCTACTTGGAAAACCCAAGTGAATAACTTAAAAGTATACTGACTTGTTAAACTGTTGGATGTGTTAGATCTTCATTACTCTGGGATTAAAAAAAAACATGTGTATATGTTAATATGTCTCATTCTCACAGTAACCTTAAATTGACTATTGTTAACATTTTATATTTTTAGAGATGAGACTCATGGGACTAAAACTGTAATTTATCCAAGATTGCCATTAGAAAAGTGACTACCCCTGATTTATTGAGTCTAGACTCATCTATAGAATAGTTATCATTTACTGTATTAATGGAATTTGAAAAATTCAGGTAAAATTTGTATTTCTATTACAATATTTTGAGAAAATTTAGAAAAACAAGTACTTTTATATTAGAATACATATTTTCCTCACCTTTTAACAACAAAGACATCAAGTATTTGTTACTTTTAAAGACTTCTCAAATAAGTATAGCTGCTATAGAAAAGCACTTGTCAATTTTTTTTTTTTAAAGATTTATTTATTTGTACATACAGAACTGGGGTACAGGCCAGAGGCTCAGGGATGGTGAGAGGCTTCACCAGCGATAGAGTGGGGAGCAGAACAGGCAGATCGATGAAGTACACTGCTGAGGGAAGCAGCGGGCGGGCCAGGAGAGGTCTGTCACGCCATGTGGTCACCTCCGGGGCAGGCGGGAACCGAACTCATGCAGAAGTGGCTTTCGCTTCTTAATGCTGTGCTTTAACCCGCTGCGCCACCAGGGAGGGCCAGCACTTGTCAATTTTAACTGCCTTAGTGTTGTATCTTAACAGGGCTTTGCTTAAATGGGTTCTGGCTTTACTACAGGTCAAGTTATTATGGACAGATTCCACTATAAGAAAATACAGATGGCAAGTTTAATAGCAAATGTTAAATGTCAGTTCTCATACACAAACTTCATTTTAAAAAGTATTTATAAATGGCTTATTAATTCTTCTGTTCTTTTCATTTAAGTTAAATATATATAAATGTCTATAATTTACTTTATGGAAATCTTTAAGAAATATGTGAGTTTGAATCACTGAAAGATAAAAAATGTACAGCTAGCTTCCGCCCCTTCAGCACAGCTTGCTTCTGCCCTTTCAGCAGCCCTACCAGTGTGTAATGGAATGAAGAACACAAAAATACTCACTCTTAAAACTTAACCTCTTAGTATTTTCATCATAGCAACCAACTCAGATTATAATATGGTCACTGCATTGAAAGCATGATCTAAGAGGAAAGCAAAAGTACTAATATTGCTGGGCTGGGCCTCCCTGGTGCACAAAGATTAATTTCAGCATTATCAGCCACTGCAGTTTGAGTTCAATCCCTGGTCAGGGAGGTGACCCACTTGGCACATCAGACCTCTCCTGTCTTGCTCGCTATTACCCTCAGCAGTATGTCTCAGTAGATCTGCCTGCTCTGCTCCCCACTCTGTCTCTGGTAAATCCTCTCACCCCCACAACTCTGTTTACATCCCAGCACTTATATACATGAATAAATAAAAGTAAATCTTTAAAAAGGAATTAATATTGTTTGTATACATATTTTCTTATCCTACTTCCTTCGGTTCCTTTGTAATATACTGTCTTGTTTTTTTTTTCCAGTGTATGTTATGATAGCAATTTTCTGCATAGCATCTGCAATGAGTCTGTACAACTGTCTTGCTGCACTAATTCATAAGATACCTTGTGGACAGTGCACGTATGTATTTTATAAGGAATCCCATATTGTTGGCATTTGTAACTGAAGTCAATACTAGAAAAAATTAGTGTTATTTTAAACCTGTGTGGTCTGATATACATGTGGCTATTCAAATATAATTTTTTAAATTTTTAAATTTTTAATGTTTTAAATATTTTTTAAGTATTTCAGGTACTAAATAGTCACATATAACTATTGGCTCCTATATTGGCCTACACAGCTAGATAACATTTTCATCACCACAGAAAGTCCTGTTGAACTGATAAATATTTTATGAACTGATTTTATTATGTGCCATTCCTTTTACTTAAAGTCAATACTTTTAAATTGATATTTCAATAACTTTCTTGTAACTGTGGTTAATGTTTATTATGTTGTTTCATCTACAGAGTAAACTAACCTTTTTAATTTTATTTAAGGACATTTAAAGAATTTTTTAAGAATATTTAAATTTTTTTTAGGATTGTGTGTCGTGATAAAAGCATCGAAGTGAGACTTATTTTTCTCTCTGGACTATGCATTGCAGTAGCTGTTGTATGGGCCGTTTTTCGAAATGAAGATAGGTATGCGTACTCTACATTTGCATTTTGATTGACAGTATATTACTTTATATTTTGCCTTGATAGTTATTCATTCTGTTCATTATAGATTTGGGTTTGTGTGTGGTGTGTGTGTGTTTGCCTTATTTCAGCTAAATAAATTTGCACATGAGTATTGTACTAATGGATTTGAAGTCATATAGGGAAGGCAATGTGAATTATTATTTTACATCTAAGCTGAACTAGACTTCAGAAATATACTTAACTGCAGTATAGCCATACATAATGAAGTAGTACAATGCAACTTTGAGAATGATGAACTCTATGAATTTATATGTAGTGAATTCCAGAATATATTTTTATTTATTTATTTTAGGTGAGAAAAGTATGAAAGAGTATCTACTGCATACTACTTTGCATGTAAGATCTGCAGCATGAGTTAAATTCCTAGCCAGGGAGGTGACCCACATGACACAGCAGACTTCTCCTACCTTGCCTGCTACTCCCCTCAGCAGTGTATTTCAGTACATCTGCCTGTTCTGCTCCCTACTCTGTCTCTGGTGAATCCTCTTACCCCTGCACCTCTAGCCTGCACCCCAGCTCTTGTATGCATAGTAAATCTTCAAAAAAAAAAAAAAGGTAATCTAGGAAATATACAGGTATCTCCATTTGCAGGTGAGATGACCAAAAAAAAAAGTATGTTTAACTTTATTGAATAATTTATTAATAAAATGATTAAAGGATTTTATAGACTTTAGTGGCTTAAAATCTGGGAGTTTATACTACTGTAGGCAACTTCAAGTATGATAATTAGTAATTAGTCAAATCATAACAAAATTGAGTATAGTATTACTTTAGAGAGATTTGATTTTTGACTGAATCATACAGCAGAATAATTTCTTTTGATTTTTAGGTGGGCTTGGATTTTACAAGATATATTAGGAATTGCTTTTTGTCTGAATTTAATTAAAACATTGAAGTTACCCAACTTTAAGGTAATTACTTTGCTAGTTGAAATAATTTTTTCCTTTTAAAACAACTTTATTAAGGTATCATTTGTAGAGAATAAAATGCACCCATTTTCAGTGTACTATTTATTGAATGTTACAAATACATAACTTGGTGGCCCTCCCTGGTGGCGAGGCGGGTTAAAGCACAGCACTGAGAATCTAAAGCCATTTCCGCATGAGTTCGATTCCCACCTGCCCTGGAGGTGACCACCCGGCGTGGCAGACCTTTCCTGACCCACCCACTGCTCCCCTCAGCAGTGTACTTCGTCGATCTGCCTGTTCTGTTCCCCACTCTGTCTCTGGTGAAGCCTCTCACCGCCCCTGAGCCTCTGGCCTGTACCCCAGTTCTGTATGCACAAATAAATAAATCTTTAAAAAAAAAAAATACATAACTTGGTAACCACTGTTCGAATCAAATTATAGAACATTTCTTATCTCTTCAAAATATTTAGTATGCTATTTTACAGACAATCCTAATCCCCAGCCAACAACTGATACGTCTGTTTAAAAATTGGGGGGCATTCATACAGCATGTCAAATTCATAAAATCCTTACTGGACTATAAGGAAAGAACATTTCTTTGACACAGTGCTCCGCCCCCCCCCCCTTTTAAGAGCAGGATAAAGAAAGTAAAACCTTTAAATGTGCTTTGTATAATAAAGCAACAAATAGTAATAACCATTAAATGCCTTAAAAAAGGTAGTCAAGTGTATGTTCTCATGTTTATTGTACTCACAAAATATATACTCAATATAGATATAGAAGGTTTGACTTTAAATGTCTTTCTTTCTTCAACAGTCATGTGTGATACTCCTCGGCCTTCTCCTCCTATATGATGTGTTTTTTGTTTTCATAACACCATTCATCACAAAGGTATGCTGTTTTTGAAATCTGTGTGGAACATGCTAAAAGAGGAGAATCTTAGAACTGTTTTTCAGATGATGATTTTACAGTAAAAGAGTTCTAATTGTTTTATGAGAATTATCATTGAAGTTGGTCTTTTAACAGAGAGTAATTTCAACTCTTTAAACCATTTTGCTAGATAAAAGAATATCCCTTAGCTATAAAGTAAGCATGAGAGTGGTCCATTTTCTTCCTAACTTTGTTAAAGTAACTTTGATTATGATAAGTCAATAAGTATTTCCTTGTAAACAATATAGACAGCAAAAAGAGTAAAATGATATCATTACAAAAAGAGTAAAATGATTCACTTTTTTAGACTAAAGAGGTGCATACCAGAAATCTGAAGGCTTAAAGGGTAGCTCTACCTATAATCCTGGGCAAATCAGTTTCCTCATCCACTGTGTGAGAGAAGTATTGCTAGCATTCAATTCTAGGAGAATTGCATTAGTACAATATTTTTAAATGCCACTGACAAAACCAAATCTAACCTTTATACACCACAAACAGGTTCATATATAAAGGTTGTGTTTAGAGGCCAGGATGGGGCAGGCCCCAAGTATATAGACCCAGGGAAACATGTGCTCCCTTTCTGCTGCTCTCCAATTGGTTATTCCCCTGGACTGGATTTTTCCATGATATTAGAATCATAGTAATTTGCAGTTCCTAGGTCATTCTTTCCCAGCTCTGCTTTTAGTTTCACAATAAAATAGTGAATAAGGGAGAGGTGTTGGGTAAGTGGTAGGTCTTACTATTTTAAAGGCATAAGAAACATATGCCCCACTGCAGAGCTAAACTTGCAACTAGGTAGCATGTAGTTAACTGCTCCTATTGACAACTATCCAAACTGTTTTTACTAGCACCTTCCCCCATCCTAATGATGACCTGTTTGACTTGTTGACTTCATGGAACAATACTAATTTTAAAAAGCACAGAATTCATGTATGGATTATTAATAAATTGTTAATTTATTAATGCATTTTTAAGAGCTCTATCTAAAGCTATACTGCCATGTGTCTGTTCATTTGGTTGAACAAAGTGTTTCTGTATTAAGTCATTCCATCAGAGATTCATATGAAAGTAAAACATTTTCTCTACAAAGTCATTCCCATAAGTCAGCAGATAGTTGTAGCACATGACACATTTATTACACAGTGGACCTGGCTATAGACTAAAAACTAAACTTTTTAAAAATAATATTACTGTTCTAATACCAGTATCACTTTATAAATGCCAAATGTGTCATTTTGGAATGGCAAACTATTTCCATTCCCTACACATAAGAAGTTTTAGCATTTTAAAAATATTGGGTAATAATAAAGATGGCTTTGAGCATACTTTTTTCCTACTGCACTTAGGGAGTTTTCATCTTTTTGTTTTTTCATCTTCCTATTAACTAGGAAAATTATTTCAATAATCTGATACGGTGGCAAAGATTAAAGTTCTCATTGGAATTCACTGTTGTAGACTTACTTTAACACCTCCAATCTCTTTTTTTTGTTTTTATTTTTATTTAGACTATATGCCTTAATTTAGCAGGTAACTAAAAATGAAAATAAGGTAGTAATTCCTGATTTTTGTGGTTTATACTGAAAATTTTGAGGACTAAATATTCCAACCATGTTCTCAACCCTAGTGTTAGTAGACTTTAAATTTATTGGGAGGGTTGGTGGCTATAAAAAGCCTTTCTTCATTTTTTTCATCTACCATTATTCTTGGTATAATGTCTTGAAATTGTAGCTACTCAAATATCTTTTGAGTGTATCTTTTGAATGTATGAGAGGACATCAATGATTATCTTCAGTTAAATGTTTTAAATATTAGAAAATTAAGCAATGTGAGCTACTTATCTGGAAATTCAATCACATCATGGAAGTCTAATCTAGAGGTTTGCATTTATTATTTATTATTAGTTTCTTTTCCTAAACTCCTGTGCCTTAGGAACCAAAACTTAGCATCAGGAAAAGACTTCTGTAGTTAAGGATTTATCCTTTCTACTCAGCTCAGGTATCATTGAAATCCTTTTTAAAAACACTCAGGCTATTTCTCCTATGCACTCCACCCATGGAAAATATTGTAGTTAGTCAATCAAATTTTCCTGAAATTTGACATTTATCTTCCCATTACCTGTTTTAATGACAGATGTATTATAATAATGAAGCATAAGATGAGTACTCATGCAATCTTAGCTGCCACTTCAAAATATTTTCCTTCTCCACTACACACTTGGCTATCAGGAAAGAATTTTAAATGATGTTCTCACATAATAAAACCTTAGTCAGATACAGTGGAGGAATGTGTGCATAGTTTATGTTCTCTGATTTCAAGTTCTTCTAAAATGTCAGTTTAAAAATGTGAAAATAATTATTCCAGTATCAGTCCTTCCTTTTCTAAAAGTTAAGGTTCAAGATTCCTAAGAGACTTATTGCTGGCCTTTTATTGTTTTAATTTATTACAGTTACCAGTAGGCATCAGGGTGCCAAAGCTGACTTATTTCTTAGCTAAGATTAATGTTTTGATTGAGAAATAAAACACAGGAAAGGCTAAAATTGAACAAGAATCAAGCTAGAGAAATACCTCAAATTCTTTATTTCCTCATTGATTTGTTATTGTAGTGAGTAGCCAGAAGGTCAAATGCTTATTAATTCAAATAAATTCACCAATACTTATTCTAAAGCTAAATGTAAAAAAGTTAGTATTTATATCCCTATTCATTGTATTAATAAAAATGACATAAGACACAGGGTATATAACATAACTGAAAGTACTTAAAATTTATAGCCTGTTACAAATGCTAGATATTAATACATGAGTACAAATCAATTTATCAATTTCTGATAATTGTTGAGCCCTGAAAAACTGGAGCAGTGTGCTAGATACATTTTTGTTTTAGATTACTCCACTTTTTACTTTCTACAGAAACTTTTTAGGAAAAACAGTCTGTAATGAATTTTTCATCAGCTTAGAGTAGATATAGAGTAAAATCATTCTTAAATAATGGCACTTTATTCTCATTCAATGATCAGATAGTTTCTTTTATCTTCCTTTTCAATTTTAGAATGGTGAGAGTATCATGGTTGAACTTGCAGCTGGACCTTTTAGAAATAATGAAAAGGTAAGGATGGCAATTTAATGCACTGGTTGCCAGTGTATGTATGTGGGTCCAGTAAATAATTTTGCCTCCCTGTATAATTCATTGGTCATGTAGTGCATGTTAAGGTATTGTAAAACATTATTTCTCACAAAATATAGCCCTTTTCATAGTTATTCTAAATTATTAAATACCTATTGACTTGGGTTTCATCCTAGAATGATGGAAACTTGGTGGAAGCCACTGCTCAACCCTCAGCTCCCCATGAGAAAGTAAGGATTGTATTTCAGATATGTTCATTGGACCTTAAATCATACCCTCTGAGACAAGATTCTTCTTTGAGGAAAAAAAAAATACAGATTGCCAAAAACAAAAACAAAAAAACAAACCTGTTTCAAGGCCTGAGTCCTATTTTTGGTAAAAAAAAAAAAAAGGAAGGGGGGTGTGGGGGAAGACTAGATATGGGAATAATGGATTAATAATGTTACGCCTATATGTGTATTTCATTTTCCCCAAACTTCATCTCTCTTTCCTTTGAGTTTTCTATACATTCAGAGTATGTGTGTATGTAAAGATATGTGTGTATATGTTTATGTTCTCTGATTTCAAGTTCTTCTAAAATGTCAATTAAAAAATGTTAAAATAATTATTCCAATATCATCTTTCCTTTTCTAAAAGATAAGGATAAAGATTCCTAAGAGACTTATGCTGGCTTTTTTTTTTTCTTTTTTAATTTATTACAGTTACCAGTAGTCATCAGGGTGCCAAAGCTGACTTATTTCTCAGTAATGCATGTGTGCTATATGCCAGTTTCACTCTTGGGATTTGGAGACATTATTATACCAGGTAAGCAGTTGTATGTAACGATTTCAGTAAAAATGTACTAATGTTTTTGAACTATCATATGTATAGACTATTAAAAGTTTACTACCAGCCCTCCCTGGTGGTGCAGTGGGTTAGGATGCAGCACTGCAAGCCAGCTGCAACTGCTTCAGTGCGAGTTTGATCCCTGGCCCTGGAGATGATTCACATAGTGAGGCAGACCTGACCCGTCCACTGCTCCCTTCGGCAGTATACTTCTTTGATCTGTCTGTTCTGCTCCCCCACTCTGTCTCTGGTGAAGCCTCTCACTGCCCCCCTGCACCTCTGGGTACCTCACTTCTGTATGCATAAATAAATCTTTTTTTTTTTAAAAAAAAGTTACCCACCTATAACAGACCAGGTGAGAAAATAATAATATTATATAATAATAATAAACAGCTATATACCAGAGACATTTTATGGGAGTGGGGTGAGGAATGGGATCAAAAACAGTGGGGGAGAGGGAAATGCACTGGACTATGGTGATGGCACATGGGTGATTTGGTGATGGGAAGCCCATGGGGATTACAACTGAGATGGAAAAATGCACAAAATGATGTAAAAATAAACTATTATATTATTTAAAAAAAAGTTACCTACTTTTTATAAAGTATTTCTGGCTGTCACTAGAGCTGAGATCAGTGACAAAGAAAAAAAAAGCATTTCTAAGGGGTGGAAGTTAAAAGTTAAAATGATGGAAACAATCAAAATATATCTCTCCCATATCTCAAGAAGTATCTTACAGTAAGCAACTATGATCAGTTGATCTTCTCAAAAAAAATTGTCTCTACCTATTAAAAAAGTTGAATTTAATATTATCAAATGTATTATAGCTGTTTGTTACTTTTATTTTAAAATAATAGCTATGTTATAGGAAGAGTGGTTTAGAATTACTAGGCAAGGTCATGATCAAGAGGAGAAGCCATAGAATACCATTTTGTAGCACATTGTGATACAAAAAGTGATGGAATCAATCACCTTCTCCTAGCTTAGCTTCTCTAAGTTACTGTAGTTCTGCATTATTTTTCTCACTGAATTACCTATAGAATAAACTTAATCTCATCCTAATAAAAATATAGCTTACAGGTAATTTAATATATCTTAGTCAGATGAGTTTGTCCTTTTTCACTTTGTTATATCCTCCCTATGTACTGACTACCTATGGGTGAGTAAAGAGTACTCACCTTTTTTTAAAAAAGTCCTTTATTTACATAGTAAAGCCAGGTTAAGGAGATAACCTAATAGTGTTGCCTTGTGAGTGGGCATAGCAACGCCCAATGTAGTATCTATCTAAGTTCAATGAGTCTTCATTTACGTAGTTGATAGAGAGAAGGAAATGGTCAAGGTAAAAAAATTAGTCCTAATTCTTCACTGTTAATTAATAAGACAAGTTGGGTTTTTTTCCCCCCACCAGAAAGTGCTAATTATCATTTACTACTTAGGCAACACATGCACATTTTTGGTGGTATAAAAACTAGGAATCACGGGCCCTCCCTGGTGGTGAAACAGCAAAATAAAGCTAGCAGCAGCCATTTCATCATGAGTTCTCGATCCTGGTCTGCTGTGACCCACAAGGCGCAGCAGACCTCTCCTGTCTCACCTGCTGCTCACCTCAGCAGTGTACTTCAGTCAGTATGCCTTTTCTTTTCCCCACTCTGTTTCTGGTGAATCCTCTCACCTCCAACCCCCACCCCCGTACCTCTGGCCTATACCCCAGTTCTGTATGCATGAATAAATAATTTTTTAAAAATAAAACTAGAATCAGTAACAGGAGGAAAACCAGAAAATTCACAAAACTGAAAATTATAAAGAACATGCTCCTGAACAACTAACGGAGCAAATAAAAAGTTTAAAAGTACCTTAAAAAAATAAAGGAAGGGGCCCTCCCTGGTGGCGCAGCGGGCTAAGGCACAGCACTAAGAAGCTAAAGCCACTTCTGCATGAGTTCGATCCCCGCCTGCCCCGGAGGAGACCACATGGCGTGGCAGACCTCTCCTGACCCGCCCACTACTCCCCTCAGCAGTGTACCTTGATCATCTGCCTGTTCTGCTCCCCGCACTGTCCCTGGTAAATCCTCTCACCCTCCTCATCTCTGGCCTATACCCCAGTTCTGTACAAATAAATAAATAAATCCTTTTTTTAAAAAAATAAATAAATAAAGGAAGGAAAAATGAAAAACAAGAAAAAATTACCTCAATTCAAATGAAGAAACACAACATTCCAAAACTTAAGGGACACAGTAAAAATCTTAAGAGGGAAGTGTATCATAATAAGTATATACATCAAGAAAAGTTGACTTCAGTTAAATAATCTAACTTTACACCTCAAAGAAACAGAAAAAAACAAACAGACTAAACCCAAAGTTAGCAGAAAGAAGCAAATAATAAAAATTAGAGCAGAAATAAATCAAGTACAGAACAGTAAGACATTAGAAAAGATTAACAGCTAAAAGTTGGGTCCTTGAAAAGATAACAAATTGACAATCCTTTACCCACACCAACCAAGGGAAAAAAGAGGATCCAATCAATGAACATACAAACCAAAGAAAACACTACAACTTTTAACATAGAAATACTTTTTTAAAAAATTTTTTTTCTGTGAAATGGAATATTAAACAGCTAATGAAAATCATGTTTTTAAAAGATTTTAGGAATTTGGAAAATGTTTAAAATATGGTAGTAAGGTTTTTAAAAATCAGAATATAAAATTGTCCACATTTTGAGATACTTTAATATTGTTAATATATAAAAAATATAAGTTAAATACTATATGTACTGTTGCCAAACTGTATTTATGTTGCTGTTTGTTTTTTTTTTTTTGAAGATTTATTTATTTATTTGTACAGAACTGGGGTACAGGCCAGAGATAGGGAGGGTGAGAGGCTTCACCAGAGACAGAATGGGGAGCAGAACAGGCAGATTGACGAAGTACACTGCTGAGGGGAGCAGCGGGTGGGTCAGGAGAGGTCTGCCACACCATGTGGATCTCCTCCGGGGCAGGCGGGGATCGAACTCATGAAGAAGTGGCTTAAGCTTCTTTGTGTTGTGCTTTAACCCACTGCGCCAGCAGGGAGGGCCTGTGTTGCTGTTGTTTTAAGAAAATAATGTTAAATATGTTCTTTTAGGTCTGCTGATTGCATACTGTAGAAGATTTGATGTTCAGACCGGTTCTTCTTCTATATACTATGTTTCCTCCATAATTGGTAAATTTTGTTTTTCCATTTTGTTATGTTGAATTGTATTGTTTAAAGGAAATGGTTGAAATCAAAATACCTGGGTTCTAATTCTTCATCATTAATTAGTGAGACAAGTTTGTTTTTATCTTCCAATCAGAAAGGGATTATTATTGTTTACTATTTATACATCATAGGAAAATTACATGTGAAAGGAACACAGTAAAGTCTGACATAACAGACTTATTAGAGCATCAGGCACATATGTAGAAAACAATTGTATAATACTAGATTTCTAAAATCACTCTATGGGTGGTTATGTATTCATATAAATAAATTTATGACACATCTTACCTGGGACAGAAATGTAGTTATAATTTATCCTTGAGTTTCTGTTATTGAAAACAAACAAGAACTAAGCAATTAATAATAGTTTCTGAACATAACAAATAGGTATCTAAATTCACATGCCAAAGTTCTTAGGTAAAGGGCCTGCCCCAGAACCATTCAGATACAGTTCTAGCAAGATTTTTAATTCTACATGGAATTAAAGTATATGCTAGAGAATGGTGGGTAGAAATAAGAACCCTAACAGCAAGAAAGAACAGCTCAGAAAGTGAAGTAAGAGAACAATTAAAAAGAATTAAGAAAAGCAGTCTGAGCCCATTAAGTATGATATTTTCTAAGAGTCCAGGACCAGCCATTGTGATAGAAAAATTATACTCAATGAAAAGGCAGAGAATATGTCCATTCTGCTATATGATTTAGAGCAATTCACTTAAACTTCCTGGCTTTATATTGCCTCATAATGAGGTAGATTAAATCTATGTGAAGAAACTTCCAGCTCCAGTATACTAGGATTTTATGTTCAGAATGAGATGCTAACTCATTAAGAAAAGATTAAATGATGCTAAAGAAGCCCAGGAAGTATATAATCAATATTATGAAGAGTTTCAAAACAATATTTAGTCCCTACATGTATTATGTTTTAGCATTCTAAAAAGTGGAACAATTCAGCATTCTTAACAGTGACAGATAATTGAGACTTTCTTGAACTTTTATCAATATTAATGATTAGGTTAATTATAACTGAAATATTAACCAGTTTCCAAATTCTTCAGAAGCTATGTGAAATATTTCTCCTAATTACTGTGCAAGAAAATGATGAAATTAGGGAAGTCATAGAGCAAAAATTATCCTCAGAAGTATATTAAACAACTACTTCAATGAGCGAATTAAAATCCAGCTTGAGTAATGTACAAATGACTGATTAGTTTTCTTCTTACAGCCTATGCTGTTGGCACAATACTTACATTTGTTGTCCTGGTGCTGATGAAAAAGGGACAACCTGCTCTCCTATATTTAGTACCTTGCACACTTATTACTGCTTCAGTTATTGCGTGGAGACGTAAAGAAATGAAAAAGTTCTGGCAAGGTAGCGGCTACCAGGTATGTGCTTAAATTTCAGTTATCAAGTTATCTTACGCCATAATTTACTGTTGAACTTTGTTCTCTGTGAACAGAGCTTTTATGTGCCAAAATTTATCTGTCAGGATGTCCTAAGTTTTTTCTACTACTGCCACCTTACTGTCCACCTGCTGCATCATGACTTCCTATCCCCACTGTAATCTGATTCCCTACTCTTCAAACTAAACAACTAAGAAGCAGTAGGAGAGTATCAGGGAAAATCAGAATAGCATTTCTTTCTTTTTTTTTTGAAAGATTTGTTTATTTATATGTACATAACTGGGGTACAGGCCAGAGGTGCAGGGGTGGTAAGAGGATTCATCAGAGACAAAGTAGGGAGCAGAACAGGCAGATAAGAGAAGTAAACTGCTAAGGGCAGCAGTGGGCGAGACAGGAGAGGTCTGCACGGTATGGATCACCTACAAGGCGAGAATCGAATTCTGACTGACATGGCTGCGGCTCACGTGCAGCGCTGCATCCTAACCCACTGTGCTACCAGGGAGGGCCTCAGAATAGCATTTCAGCATCAGTTTTCCAAGTCTCTGCAAAAGAAGATTATGAAAGATAAAACTCTCTTTAAAATAAGTACTGAGTTTTTGAAACTGACATTAGTAATTTGTAGTTAAAGAATCTTTAAGGTTTTGCAGATAAATGGACCCAACTATGAATAAGCTAAATAGGGCACTCATTTTAGCTTTATGTGGATCAAGATTGAACTTTCTTTAAAGTTCCCAATAGAGAAATTCTTGATACCAGAATATATTATATTTTAATTGTTTCTTCATTAAAGCTAAACCCCTTTCTTCTTTTTGTAAATATTCTTGGTATTCCAGTAAAGTTTGTTTGCACTGAAATTAATGAGGGTTGGGAAACCCTAGAGGTCAGGGTCATGACATTGATTCCTCCATGAGGCAGTTAGCTTTTTTTGCCCTATTAAAACAAACAACCCTCCTCCAGCAACATACATACATGGTAGTGTTAACATGAACAAGAAGAAAGACTTTGGATGGGTGCCTGCACCTCTCTTAGTGTTAGTAGATAAACAGTTCAAAGTTCATATTCATCTTGTGGTTTGTCAGTGGTGTCATCTTGATTTAACAAAAAGTGATTAATACATTAACTTAGGCTAAACATCAGTCAAAATTTTATTTAAATCTTGTAATTTCAGATTGGGAGAAAATATTGCCTGCCTTGTCTACCATTTCAGTTTATATTAATAACCATAGAATTAGTTTCTTACCACAAAGTCCTTGACTACACTAGTAATACAGCTTGTAACTTTTCCACAAACTAGACACCTACATAGATGTTTTTTCACTTTTGAAAATCTTAAAAAATAAAAGTATGTCCTTCAACACATACTCTACTACTACTAGGCTTTAAATAGTCTTACTTTTATTCATTTGGTAAACATTTATTGAGCAGCTCTATGAGCCAAGTATAGTTGCTGTTGATAAAAGATGTTAGAAATAGGCCTAATCTCATCAGAGCCTCTCAAAAATTAAGAGTCTAGTGAGGGATGCAGATAGAGTCACTAACAGTATAGTGTCATAAGTGTATTAGTTATGGCAGGGTATCATGAAGGCTAAAGGTGGAACACTCAATGCTTGTAGAGCCTCCTGTAGAGGCTAAGGTGATTTGGGGAAGGCTTCCTAGAGAATATGAAATTTATATTGAAATTTTAAGACAGAGGCATGTGTTCAATATTTAAGTAACCATGCATTCATTCAGAGACTCAGGGAAGAGAACATAGCACATAAGCAAAGTTAGGGTGACTATAATACAGAATAGAAGTAAGGGAACTACAGGAATTAGAAACTGGAGAAAGAAGCAAGGGTAAGAGCCTACAATCTTGTAAGCCACATTAAAGAGTTTGAACTCTGTCCTAAGAACACTAGACCAAGAACTCTAGAAAAATGGGCTGAAGGAGGAAGCAAAACTGGAGATAACTATTATAATGAGAAGCTTTAGTAGCCAGAATTAGTAAAGAAGTGAGTTTGAGAGAAGTGGACAAAGTCAGCAGGAATTTAGAGGTATAATTGATGGGATCTGGTGATGGGTTCAGTCTAAGGAGAGAAGAAAGTGGGGTCCAAGAGTTCTGGTTGGGTAACTGAGTGAGTGATTGGTGATGCCATTCACAGAGATGAAATAGATGATATGTCAAAGTGCCTAAAGAACTGCCACAAAGATAGAAGTAATAGGCAGTTAAATAATATTGCTTCATATACAGGAGACAGACCTAGTTAGAGATGGAAATTTGGGAGTGTCATCTGTATATTCAATAAAGTGAGAATATGGAGAGAGAGAAAAGACTCAAGACAGAACTGTGAAAAAGAGGTTTCTACTAACAGTGGATTATGAGGGAAATCAGGACAAAGAAAAGAAACAGTGAAATGTTGTGTAGGATTGGCATTTACATCTTTAGTTTAGAATTTAAATTTGTGACTTCATAGTCTTACAAAATTAAGTTTCTTGCTATCCTCATCACCAAATTTTTACTTGTAAAACTTTCCTCTTAGTAGTTTTTTAGAAAGTTTTTTTATAAAATATGTAGTTATTACAAAAAAATTTTAAGTGTAGAAAAGTGCAAAAAAAATTAAGTCCACTGAAAATTCTAGAGAAACACACCTTTTTTTTTTTTTTTAAAGATTTATTTATTTATGCATACAGAACTGGGGTACAGGCCAGAGGCTGGGGCGGTGAGAGGCTTCACCAGAGACAGAGTGGGGAGCAGAACAGGCAGATCGACAAAGTACACTGCTGAGGGGAGCAGCGGGTGGGTCAGGAGAGGTCTGCCACACCATGTGGTCACCTCCGGGGCAGGTGGGAATCGAACTCATGCGGAAGTGGCTTTAGCTTCTCAATGCAGTGCTTTAACCCGCTGCGCCACCAGGGAGGGCCGAGAAACCCACTTTTAAGCCATATGTGAATAGTATACTCTAAAGAGTTCTCTACTTTGTTTTTGTACTGCATGATTGTCTTTTTTTCATTGTTAATTCTTTGTAAAAATCATTTTAATATCTGTATAATATTCTCCTATTCATGTACCAACTCTTTACCTTTTTTTTGATCTAGTAATTTGTTTTTAGAATATTATCCAGAATGATTTTAAAATTTGGACAAAATTAATGTGAAATCCCAACTCTGTTTTTATTTTAATTATTTTTTGTGTGTTTTTTAATTGAAAAATTATGCATGTCTGTATTATTTAAGCATGCAATACAAGAGTTTAAATAACATGAAAGACCATTTAGTATTAGTAAGCACTCTTCCCTCTCCTCCCCCCTCCACCCCTTAAGTGGCAGTTCCTTTAAACCATTTATATGGAGCTTCCAGACCTTGTACCAGTTCACACTAGAAATGATTGAATATTTAGAGATGTTGTATGTGTAAAATAGTAGCATTTGTTTCTTTGGAAATATTCTACACCTTATTTTTTCTCAGGTTTATTGTAGCATCTCTTTTTTCTTCCATGATACATATTGAGGAGAAAGGGGATGGTAGGTAAGGAGGGAATTCAACTAAGGAATATATTTACATTCCTTATGAATAGATACTGTGCCTTTGACAAGCCAAGTTTGATTTTTAAAAATTGTAATATTGGGGCCCTCTCTGGTGGCACAATAGGTAGGAAGCAGCACTGCAAGCTAGTGGCAGCTGCTTCCGTGCGAGTTCCATCCCTGGCCCTGGAGGTGATCCACATGGTGCTGCAGACTCTCCTGACCCGCCCACTGCTCCCCTCAGCAGTGTATTTTGTAGATCTGCCTGTCTGCTCCCCACTCTGTCTCTGGTGAAGACTCTCACTGCCCCTGTACCTCTGGCTTGTACCCCAGTTCTGTATGAATAAATAAATCTTAAAAAAAAAAATTTTTTTTTTAAATTGTAATATTGAAAAAAGTCAGTTCTTCATAGCAGTTACCCCTAAAGGGAAAAGTCATTGCAGCTGGACACAAAGCAATAATGCATAGCCTCAGAAGTGTGGATTCCAGAGGTCTTCACATAACATAGTAGCTAAATGAGGCAATTAGTTTGTAAGAAAGTCCAATTAAAAGTGTCTGTAAAGGTAGGCACCTTTGGTTATACACTTTTCATTTTGTAGTGTTGTCATAATTTTGTTAGTATAGCATATAGTAATAAAAACATGGAGTCTGGTGTCCAACTATCTAAATTTGAATTCTGATTTTGTTAGTAGTTATGTGATCTTAGCTAATTACTACCAGGAGAGTCTTATTCTTCTGGAAAACTCATGTTTTTACCGGTTACAGAATGTAATACCTTCACAAAATTATACTCTCTTAATGTGAAAATCTTTTCATTGTTTTGTTGTCTTTAAAGTCAAAATTAATTTAGCTTGAATGTTGTCATTTGTGGGAGGTAGTAGTAGTATATTATAGGCTTTGACATCAGTTTTGTAAGTTCTTTAATCTTCTAAAACTGTCTCTTCATCTACAAAATAAGTTGAATCTATTGGCAAGTGGGAGAATATGTAACCCACTAGAGTGGGTTACCCAAAGAGGTAGTGAGGTGGTGTTGAAATCAGGTAAGGCTAAGCAGAGGCTTCTGAAGTAAGACAAGCAACCTTGACAAGCCTAGTAAAACAGAGGAAGACCAGTTTTTGATCCAGGGCAGGATAGACCTGAGAGGCAATGCTGAAGACAATCCCCAGGAAGCTCCTGGTCTATTTCTGAGGTTAATAGTGACCTTTCCTTCTTATGTCTCTCCTTTATCTCCATAGCATTGCCATTCTAGAATATACCTTATTTAACTCTAATTAGATTTCCAAGTTTTCCAAATGAAATTAGGTCCTTTCCCATTTATTGATGAAGTGTTTTAATATATTGTAAATCCTTTGTTGAATGTTATTGAAATTCTTAATGCAAAGCAGCTATAATGGTGAGTCCTTAATCCACTAACCTTTCGTCTCATGTGTGCATTCCTGATTGTTTTAGGAGCCCTCGCAAAATTACCAAAATGTTAATATGCCCTCGCAAAATTACCAAAATGTTAATAAAGTATTGTAAAAGTGAGGCAATTTTAAAATATTTTAATCTTTCTTTGTAATTATTTAAGTACCAAAAGCTTTTGCTATAATTTTGAAATAATCAAATGTAAAACAAGTAATGGTAATTAAAGTCAGAATCAAAAGTGATAACACATTTGTTTATGCAATTAATTACTAGGTTTATTCCAATGCCTATTATTAAAGTTGAGTGCAAGAAAATGGTGATAAAAAACAACTTTCCACTGCAGACTTTTAAAATTTTTTTTTCAAAGGGTAAATTATACATCACTTGTTGCTAGTAACTTTAGAGACTTCATAGAAGTATTTAAGATTTTACTTGGAGTCTTTCATTCCTTCCTGCAAATTTCTCTGATCCAAAAAGAAGTAATATTTCAGTAGGATTTCAGTAAGCCTGCAAATTATATCTAGAAATAGTTATTTCTATGCATTTTTTTCTGGATATTTCATGAGCTAAGTATTCAATTCCATTTATTTGATTTTACTCGGTCTTAATTCTAATAAGTACAGAGCAAATATTGGTGTTATTTTTCTCTCTAGAGAAAAATCAGGCAGTGGCATAATTACTATGGCATATAGAATAATTAAGAGAAATTTTAGGGACCTTTTTTGTTCCTAATATTTAATCAGTGGAATTATGCCACAGCCTCAGTGGGCTATTTTACTGTGTGTATGAGCTAAACTTTCAGTGTGTTGCTATCAGGTGAACAGTGGATTTGTCTCTGTTAAATGTCACTGGTACTTCTAATTATTTTTAGAAGTCACAAGCTGTAAATGACAAGTCAGAATGCAGAGGTACTTGGAACAGCTTTGCTTTAGTATCAACAGCTCTCCAATACTCTGCTTTAATGAGTGTTTTTGTACACTGTTTTTGAAGATTGGTTCAGTTACAAATAAGCAGAACTATCGGTAAATGTTGGGTTAACTGACCCTATTTCAGAGGCCATCTTTCTAGACTCTGTTAGGAATTGTGTCCTGGAATAAATATCAGGAACATTTTCTTGTGATAGAGTTCTCACTGCCATGAAGGACAGTGTGCATATAGGGAAATGGAGATAGTGTAAGATCCAGAAAAAGCAGTTATCATATGATTAAGCTTCCTGAAAGGTTCAGTGTCATCCTGACCATGTCCTTAGGAGAACAGGCTGTTGAGCCAGAATACCACTCAGTTCTATGGGTCACTCTTTCTTCTTTTAAAACTGGGAATCCTTTTGCCAAATTAGCAACTATAAAGAGCAAGTTGAAAATTTGCACATCCTAACATCTTTTATTTATGCCTAGATGATGAACCATTTGGACTATACGACAAACGAAGAAAATTCAGTGACTTCTGGTGAACAGACTGTGCAACAATAATATTACATGGACCTACAATGATGTGTCAGTTGGTTTTCCAGAAATAGGGTTTGACTTTTTAGATTGAATTTTGAACTGACAATCTGAAAGAATGTTCAAATTATATGCTTGCAAATATATATTTTTATGACCTGGTACTGACAGTGATATAAATAATTAAAATATGTTTGCTTTTAACTATGTTAGAGTTGTGCCTTCACATTAAATAAAAGCATGTGTAATTTTGAAGATGTATTATATACAGTATATTTTTCTAAAAAAAAAATCTTGACCAGCCCCTGTATTTTTCTTACTGAAATCTTTCTTTCAATTCTAATGATAGATAAATTTCTGTCAAATTAAGTTTCTGAGAGACTTTACTATAAGAATTACATAAACTTTATATTCTGTAGAAATACCTGTTTAAGATCATGTAAGAAGGTAGTTCAGCAATGAAATTTTGGATCTTTTACACTTCAGACATTAGAAATATATAATTTGGGTGTATATATATATGCATATATATATATGCTTATTTTTGTAGCATAGTTTTTTTTAATCCCAATCCTTTTTAAAACTTGAAAACCTAAATTACTGCCTATGTGTTATATTACAGTATTTTTACAGTCAGAGAGAAACATAATAAGTAGAATTAGTCATTAAAAGGACACAAAAACAGAAATTTATAGTTTTCAATCATCTGCTATTTCCTTGATGATGTAGCTTAAATTGTATACTAACATTCAGTTTCACTAGGTATTTCTGATCTATTTAAAATTTCTGTTTATATTAAAGGTTGTATATTTTGTAAAATTTTTTTTATCAAATTATATATTAATTCATATAGCTTGTTGTTTGAGTGTAATACCCTTAACAAGGCCCTGATTCCCACTCCTTTCATCATAGAAACCACTTTTAGACTTTTAATTTTGTTGGAGTATGTGGTTTACAGAATATGCTTCAAAGGAAAGAACAAAAGAGGAGACACTCAATTTAATTACAAGAGTTTGAGTATTTTGTCTTAGCTGAAGATAACAAGTATCTCCATTCTTTATTCACAAAATAGGTAGATTAGACCAGTTCATCACTGTGATACTTGTCAACTGAAAATCTTTCTCACTCTTTGCCAAATCTCAGATATGGCCCGGAACATTCTTCTAAGTTCAGAGGTCCATTTTATTTTTTCAAAGAAATTCCCAAATGACAAGTGATTGCAAAGGCAGCAGGATTTTGTATTTCTCTGTAAATAATGTACAGTTCTGTGAACAAATCTATGATGTTTCATTCTAAGACCAGTTCAGTTGATTAAGAGATAAAACTCTGGCTTTTTAAATGGATTATATCTTTGATGTTTGAACTAAATTTAGCGTTTGAGCGAACTGGATGCTTTGTGTCTGTGAACCTTTGCTAAGTAAACTGCAAAGAAAACCTTTAATAGTCTCTCCGCACTTAATATACTTATGAATCCTTTGATTTATGGAAGTGACAAGTATGTGATTGACAAAAAAAAAGTTTATCTTAACTTTGCCTCCATAATATCAAGTCTGAATTTTTTCAATGAACTGATTTATTTGGCAGGTTCTTGTAGAATGAAGAGCAGATTAAGTACCACTTTAAAACTCCAACTATATTTTCATTTAGAATGTAATGCTTGCCAAAATATAGCTTTTTTAAGTAAAATTATCTGAATTCTCACCCCACCTTTATGATATTAAAACTTCAACCACATTTTATGAAGATTATTAAAGAAAATTTATAGCTAAAGTCTGAAATCTTGAGTTCTTTCATAAAATTCCACTTTAAAGTTGGGTTTTAAAGGACTATCTTTTCCTCTCCTGCCCTCCTACTACCAATAACTTCAAGGGAAAGAGAAATTTTTATCCTAAACATGTCTGTGAAACAGTAAGATATATTATTACTTACTGCAACAGAATTTACTACCTCTTAGAAATTCTTCCTGAACACTTTTGCAGCTTATCAGTCTGAAATATCTCAAATTGTAATATAGATGATTTTTACTTCAGCAAAACTAAAGATGATTTGTAGGAAAGAACTTACTTTTCTAATATTTTCTGGTTTGTAGATTTTTTTTTAATGAGCAATGTTATTAGTAGAATCTGGGATTTAATTTCCCTTTTGAAGAAAGTCCATCTGCTGTTGGCATTCAGAGATTTTAGTTACATGTCCATATAGATTTCGATGTATAGTAAATACAAAGGAACTTTTCAGTTTTCCTTTCCGTTTAGGTATAAGCAAGAATTATCTTTACATTTGACTAAAAAATATCTTAAGTCTGGTCTCTACAATTTCAGCATAACCTCATCAAATGATTTCAAAAGCACAGGAGTTACAAACTAGTGGAATGTACTAGTCCAAAAGGCTTGGTGATGTTATATAATTCTACAGTTTAAAAAATTGTATATTATGTGCTGTAGCTCAGAGGATAATTCTAAAGGGGGTTGGGAATGGTAATGCTAATCAAATAAAAATACTAACTATAAATCACCTTACAATTCCCAGAAGGGTACCCTAAATTCAAGAGCGCTGAATCAAATGACTGAATCTTTTGAAATTTGACCCTCTATTGTACTACTCAGAATTTGGATTACTGACTTTTCAGCTAAACAGTAACAGTAGTATACATGTCATAGTGTAGTAAAAACTATGTAAATTTTCTCAGTAAAAGTTTCCATACTTGAGGACAACCTTTGAATCTGTGAAAATGTTCGTTGGAGAAAAATTTTTTCAAACACTTTTCTGCATTATTGCCAATTAAGGGCAGCTAAAAGAGCACATGTAGAATAATTAATATGTTTTCTTTGATTAGGCATTAGAAGTACTTTGAACAACTTTAATTCTACCTAAATATTATCTGATTTAGCCTGTCGCTCTCCCAGTACAAGTCAATGTAAATTAGGTAGATAATTGTCTTTTTTATTTCTTCTGTTGTATTTTATTCAATTGAGGACCTTTAATATATATGGCTAAACTTTTACTTCTTAGGTAATTGGTTTGAGAGTGGGACTTTTTTTAACACTTTGGTTTGTCAATGTAAATACTTTTATAACACTACTAGGCTTTTTTTATGGAACAGGATTTAAAATTTAAAAGTTTTTGAAGTATTAATTTAACAGTGCTTTACAACTCTTATGTGTTACTATTGACAAAGACAAATTTTTGATGTACTAAATTCACTGTGGTATTCAATAAATCCTATTTTAAATTAAAACTTGAATTTGTTTTATATTTTGAATGGTAAAAAAATAGTTGAAAACAAATAGTGTCCTAGATCATGTTCATATAAAGCACATATGGTAATAATCACTTATGAAATTGTTAAGTCTGACATGTTATCTATAAAAACTAAATTTTGAGTTATTTACTGAAACTTTTATATATTGAATCAGTTGCTCTTTATAAATACTAAATCACAGTATTACAGACCTTTTTTTTTTTTTTTTGACTGAGATCCTACCTCTTGTGGTGAACAACCTAGGCGTTTGCAGCTTTGCTAGTACTGGTCTCACAAACTACCAAAATCTCTGTCATCATTGTATTGTCTTTTTAACTTAGATGTAATTGGTCCAGATAGGTATCTGTAATGTTTGTCTTATTCCCTCCATGCCCTGCCTCAGTAAAACTTTGTTTTATCCCATATATCTGGAAAAAAGAATAAAAAACTGAGTCTCTGTAGCTCTTTAGGAAGAGAGAGCGTTAAAATGGCTAGAACACAGGAGTCATGGGGAGACTTATTTTTCATTGTGTATTCTTGTACAATTTGCATTTTCTATTATATGCTCATTAAATTTTAAAATAGAAATCAAAAATTTTATCTGTTGAATTCTTTTCCTCTTTATAGACACTTACATGTATCATGGTTAAACAGCAAATTAGTCAAATCATTTTCTTTAGATAGTAAGCTTTAAATAGTCTAATATGTATATCATATAGTTGGAGTAAAGAGAATACCTTACCAGTCTTTAGGAACTCTAACAATTATTAGCTTAAAATTAATTTTTCTTTTGCTGTAAAATGATAGGCCTGTGCTTTATATAAAGATCAATAGTTCTCCAATTTCTATTTACTGTGGTCCTTACCCAAATAACCGCAATTTAAAATTAGATGCGAATACAAGGTATCATGGTTTTTCAGCAATAAAAAATAATGACTATTTCTAAGCAACACTAGTGAGAAAGCATCCTTCCTAAAAAATTTTGGAAATTTCAACTACATGTGTATGAGTTTTAGAATTGACATAACATGAAGCAATGCAGACTTAGCAAAATTCTGGAGACAGATTTCTGTAAACTGAGGGTACTAATTCTTAACTTTCTTAGAAGATTATTGATAAATAGTTCTTAGGGTTAATTAAAATTTAAAATCAATGACTTAGCATATCAATCTGTTAAAAACAATTTACAACACAATGGAATATTTCTCAGCCATCAAAAAAGATAAACACATGCCTTTTGCAGCAACATGGGTGGAGCTGGAAGGGATCGTGCTTAGTGAAATAAGCCAGAAAGAAAAGGGAAAGTACCAGATAGTTTCACTCATAACAGGAGTATGAAGGACCAGGGGAGAAAATAATAATAATAATAGTGAACAACTATATACCAGAGACATTTTATGGAGGTGGAGTGGGAAATGAGATAAAAATGGGGGGGCAGGGGGAAGAGCACTGGACTATGGTGAAGGCACACATATGATTTGGTGCTGGGAAGCCCATGGAGATTACAACTGAGATGGGAAAAGGCAAAAATTATGTAAAAATAAACGAAAAAATTTACAATTTAGATCTGAGGGTCACTAATTTGAGTGGCTTATCTTCCCTCTCAATATTCCACCTCTTTCCTTTTTGCCATGTATCTGGAAAGCTTCCTTAACATTATTTCATTATTTTCCAACCCTTTTCATTGATATTTGATTTCTTGCAAGAACTTCCAATAGCTTTTTTTTTTTTTTTGCTAACAATTTGTTTTTTATAGTACTGCTGTTGTATTAATGCTATATATTTTCTTTTAAAAGATTTATTTATCTGTGCATACAGAACTGGGGTACAGGCCAGAGGTGTGGGTGAGAGGATTCACCAGAGACAGAGTGGGGAGCAGAACAGGCAGATCTACTGAAATACACTGCTGAGGGAAGCAGCAGACAAGACAGGAGAGGCCTGCTACCCCATAGGGGTCACCTCCCCCTATGGGTCACCTCCCTCGAACTCATGCTAAAGAGGCTGCCGCTTCACAGTGTGGTGCTTTATTTAACCTGTTGAGCCACCAGGGAGGGCCCGTATATTTTCTTAATTCTTTGAAAATAATAATGATAAAGGCACAAAATGATGTAAAAATTAACTATTATATTATTTTTAAAAATACATTGCAGAAAAACAAAAAAAAGAAAAATGATAGGGTTTTGTTTGCTTACTTTGAAACTATTCTGTCTATAGCCACTATTCCAATTCCATTTTTGTTACATCTTACAAGTTTTTTTCAGAGGGAAACATACATTTTCTGCTTATGTTTGAGAGTGGGCTCCTAAAAATGC